AAACTTTTGCTGATAATTTACTCACCCTCATCTCATCCAAGATGTCCATGTCTTTCTTTCCTCAGTCGAGAAGAAATTAAGGTTTTTGATGAAAACATTGCAGGATTTTCTCCATATAATGGACTTTACTGGGAACCAAACGGTTCAAGGTCCAAATGAGAGTTTCAGATGCAGCTTCAAAGGGCTTTAAACGACACCAGACGATGAATAAGGGTCTTATCTAGCGAAACGATCCGTCACTTAAAATATAAATAAAAAAGTTTAAGTTTTATAAGCACAAATCATTGTGACTCTCCTGTTCAAACTCGTTCATCAAAATGAACAAATCTTTTTCCGAGTCATGACTCAAAGGGTCCTAGATAAGACCCTTATTCATCGTCTGGTGTCGTTTAAAGCCCTTAGAAGCTGCACTGAAACTCTCATTTGGACCTTGAACCGTTTGGTTCCCATTGAAGTCCATTATATGGAGAAAATCCTGGAATGTTTTCAAAAACCTTAATTTCTTCTCGACTGAGGAAAGAAAGACATGGACATCTTGGATGACTTGGGAGTGAGTAAATTATCAGCAAAAGTTTTTTTAAAAGTGAACTACTCCTTTAAATAATTTATTTAATTTCAACAAAACCATTTATTCTAGATGTTACACAAATGAAGTGGTTTTCAAACATTTTCCAGTGTGATGTTTGATAGCTTTACCGGAAGTGAAGATCTTTCCAGCGCCAGAGAAAACCACGACACGACACTCTGAGTCTTCAGCTATCTGATTGAAGCAGTCAACCATTTCACTGCAGGTACAACAGAAAACACACACTAATTCAGTCATGATGTGATAACTGAGATCACTGTGCACTTCAAAATCCAGTCTTACACTGCCATTCACAAAAGGATATTTTAAGAGAACATAGAAATGGCAGAAAATGGCCACTTTTATGTCTCTCTTTCTAGCACGAATGATGATATATACTTTGTAAACATTATAATATTTTAGTAAATGTTACCAAACTGAAATTAATCAACATTGAGCTGAATAATGACACACACTATTGACTATTTTGCAGCAGATTCTGTCATTTTCTCAAGCACTACAAAAAAAAAGACGACTTGAATAAAATATTACCATTCAAGTCACTCTACACTTGTTGCCTTAACAGGAAATCTTAAAGGAAACGAAATGTATTATTCATATGGATATCAGTGTGTAATGTGGACATGAGGTCGTACAGCCAGAATGCCTTGTTCATTGCATTGCGTTTCTCTGGACGGCAGATCTCGACGTGAGTGACGGTGTCCACTGGACGGCTGACTGACAGCGTTGTGAAGGGGGGAGTGGGCCCTCCGGATGAAGACATTCCTCTAACAGCGTTCAGGAAAGGTACGAACAGACCCTTTTCTAAACACAAAACACAGACAAAATTCACAGGTTTACACTTCTGACATGTAGAGGGCACCTCTGTTCGAGACATACAGTACAGTACATATAGAAGTTTCGCTGGATTTACTATTTATATGTTAAATAGTAAATCCAGCGAATTTTAACCCTAAAAGTAGTACCTAAGTCTGGGACAGTTTAAAAGAAGTCTAGAGGACTCCTAACTCACTAAGACCTATTCACAAAGGATTGTAGCGACACCAGCGCCTCTCGCAGTCGGGAATGCTGCATTCATTTGCAAACAAATCCTCTCCCATTAGTGTTGCTTGAAATCCCAGTGCCGAATTTCCCTTTTATAATGTTTTTGTTCTCTTCCTAGCACCAACTGGGCCAGCAGCAGTAACTGATCCTGCGTCCAGTTGGGCTTTCTTTTCCATTTTGGTGAGTTCATAATCCATTCAACTATTACATTACTTCAATAGATAGGAGTAACTACAACTGGCCCATAATACAACCCTGATCTGACGAAATATTCTATTATTATTAAGGTAACATATACAATTTTTAATTCATTAACATTAGGTATTATGATCTAACAACAAACAAGAGCATTTATTCATCTAGGTTAATGCTACTTTCCATATACTCTATTCTAACACATTTTAATGTATTAAGAATGAAAATGAATAAGATAGTATATAACGCACATGAAATATGTTTACAAAGTTTAATACATGTTATTTCAGGGTAAATGTTATCAAATTATCCCAAATATAGTATTCTGTTTTGCTTAAAAAATGGCTTGCGTTACCTTTCTTTACAGTATATTCCAATTGGTTTGATATGTTATGTAATAATAACATAAATGCGTGCTTTAAGTGTCCAAATACAAATCATAATAATCAAACAGACATTTTAACGTTTCCATTTATACATTTTTATAATATTAATTTATAAACACATTCCAGCTGGCAATTCCAGCTGCATGCTATACCTTTTTAAGACTTGATTTACCCATTAAATATATGTATTTATTATTCACTCAAGGAGAGAATAATATATTATTGAGTGTGTGACCTTTCACCCAGTTAACAGAACTCAGCATGTCTGACACCTTCACCTTCACCTACATTCAGTCACAGTTACAATCAATAACACATTGGTTTAAAAAACGAACAAAATTTGGTGTTCATTCGTAATTGTTTCTATTGTTAAACACTTCTATAGCAATTCTACAAATGTGGTTAAAGTGAGTATTCAGAACAAATGCAGTTAGATAATGAAACTGTGTGACTTACTTCTGAACGCAGAACTGAACACGAGTGCCATTGATGCCCTTTGACCTGTAACGTTAACGTTATTATGTCCACACTCGCAGAGCAGAATGTTTATGAGGAAACACAGCAGATATATGTGCGCTTTATCTGTTTAACTGGAGGACAAGAATAAGTTACTCGTCACAACAGAATGAAAACACGGATAATATCCGCTTCTGTCTTTAAATAGAGTTGTCTTATTCTACACCTTTGTAATTTTAGGACGTCGTCATGTTTTTCCTCTGACGTACAATGGTTTATGTTGTGAGAAATCGAGTAACCCCTTTCGTCTTCTTCTTCTTGTTCTTCCTCTTCTTCCAAACTCTGCACCGCCGCCACCTACTGTTCCTGTTCTTACATGGATGACAGTCACATCTCTATTAGTTTATTATTTCGGATTCACAATATTTCGGCATTTCTGGCTGCTGTGTTCAATTCTCATCCCAAAAACCCATCTTGTGTGTTCCCATCTATATCTTTGTGTTTTAATGTTATTCCCAATCAAATTCGTTTGTCTATATTTCATAATATTTATTTGACAGGGACAAATGCATAAAACATTGCTTTATGAATACAAAGTAGATACCACACATAGCCTACAGGTTTCTAGCCATGACTAATTTGCAACCCTTGTCCTTGGTTAGGCTTATAAAATTAAAACAGAAATTAAAAAATATTGAATGTAAGATAACTATTAAAAAAAACATACAACAAATACATCCCATGATATGGGCTTAAATAGCTGTGAAAGTCAATATAAAACAAAGTCTAGACAGATTTAACAATACAAGAACACAAAAGGCTGCATATGTCTATGTGTGCTAACATGTATATGTCTATGTGCTAACATAAGCAACATTATGTTTGCATTGTTTTATAACTTGTACAATCAGTGTTCACAAAGTTGTTTCTGTTTCGGCCATTGCTTTAAATGTGTATTAAAAACCTTGTGCTCTGTCAATGTTTTAATTCCAGATGGTAAAGCGTTCCACAAATGTACTTTATGTTCAAGTTAGTTAATACAGCACATTATTATATGTATTATAGTTCATTATAGTTCATGTTAGTTAATACAGTCTAACAAGATAAGAGTCTAATAAGAGTCTAACGTTAACGAATGACACATTATTGTAAAGTGTTTCCAATGTATTCATACGGTTTGTGATGAATCTACGTTTTGCAACACATCATTTAAAGATATGGAACATTTATTTTTTGTATTGCCCTTTTTCTATTTATTTCTTTTTTGGATTGACTTAAAAATGACAAAAATGTAAACAAAACTTTTCATTTAGAACCTTATGACATTTTACTTTTTAAAACCTATATTTTTCTGAAAAACAAAATTACATCATTAATCTTTTAATTAACTTGTGAAAATTTTATACAAAAATAACTCTCAAAGAAACGTTCATATATCACATTGTAATACTGATCTCACAATATACTTTGAAATCCTTCCGAGACCAAAAAACAAAAAGCTTATAAAACAATACAAAATGTAAAGCTTTTCATGTTCATATTACACTTCTTATCCCAGTACTTTTTTCTACTATTATTATACATGTTTATTTTATGTTAGTTGATTTTGTTATTCTGTTTCATGTACTCTGAACTGTACTCACTTGAATTATAGATGAATTATATATATATATATATATATATATATATATATATATATATATACATGTCCATGTTTGAACAAAAAATCTTCTGAGATAAAGTGGTGCCGCTCTAGGTAATAGTGTCTCTCTCTTTTTCTCTATCAGATCACAGGACCATGTACAAAATTAAATTAATTACTCTTAAAATTGTTCATATGGGCTAAACTCAAACATGTTGATGTCCAAAGTCAATATTTCCCTGACACCATGTTAATAATTAGCTTATGTACAGCGACAGCCTGGCATTTATTTATTATGCAAACATTATAATCGAACTTTGTCTCAAATGGGAGTTTATGAATGAGATTAATAGCTATCGTCCTTTACATTTTAGGAAGGGCAGCAAAAACAAATGTTGTTGTCTTCACTCTACTTTTACAGGCTCTGCCCTGACGACACATGATGATGATGATGTGTCGTTTTAAGATCTATACCACTGATTGGATTGGATGAGAGAACATAAAAAAGCATGTTTTAATAATCTGATACAGCTTCACCAATAAGAAGTGTGGAGCCTCGGCTAGGAGTGTGTCTTTGAGGTGGACTGCTTTTCTGAGCCGAGAGAGAGAGAAAGCTGTTCTGATCTTTTCATTTGATCAACTTGAGAAAATGTGAAAGAAAATGGTGATATTTAAATAAGGAACTGAGACCTTCTACACAAAGATTTCTTTATTATGTACAGAATGAGTAGGTTTCAAAACTTGACATGAACATTTGAAACAATATGACAGACACTTCCATTCATGTTAAATGTTGTTTTTCCAGAATTTCACACTTTGATGCGTTTAAGCAGCGCTAAGTGCTTTAGTCTGCTCGTAGTTCTGCACGGCCAGCTCGATGAACCCGGCTCTGTTCGACTCGTGCTGGGCGTAGATCTGAGAACGAGAGGGGAAGAAAGAGAAAATGCATTGTGTGAGGATGCATGGGTTTTAACTCGCAGTCAAACTGTTCACATTGTTCTTTTTTGATGTTAAAGGGTTAGTTCACCCAAAAATGAAAATTCGGTCAGTATTTACTCACCCTCATGTTGTTCCAACCCCGTAAGACCTTCGTTCATCTTCGGAACACAAATTAAGATATTTAAGATATTAAGATCGCTCCTGCATACAGTCCATAGGCTTCTTGAGGGACTGGCTCTTGCTGTCCCCGAAAAGTCATTAAAGACATCGTTAAAATAGTCCAAGTGACTACAGGGGCTCAATCTTAAGTTTATCAAACGACGAGAACACTTTTGTGCGCAAAAAAACAACAAAAATAACGACTTTATTTCAACTATTCACTTCCTTCTCCATGAGCCTGTAAGTCAGTTAACGTAGTGTGATTGCGTAGAGCTACGTCACACGTAGGCTCACTATTGGCCGACGCTGGTCATGTGTGTGTGATGCGTGTGACGTACAATAACAGAAGCTTACGCTATTAAACTAACCTGACTCGCGCAGAGGGAGAAATAAACGAATAGTTGAAATAAAGTCGTTATTTTTGTTGTTTTTTTGCGCACAAGTGTTCTCGTCGTTTGATAAACTTAAGATTGAGCCACTGTAGTCACTTGGACTATTTTAACGATGTCTTTAATGACTTTTCGAGGACAGCAAGAGCCAGTCCCTCAAGAAGCCTATGCAGGAGCGATCTTAATATCTTAAATATCTTAATTTGTGTTCCGAAGATGAACGAAGGTCTTACGGGGTTGGAACAACATGAGGGTGAGTAAATACTGACAGAATTTTCATTTTTGGGTGAACTAACCCTTTAAGATGGCAACCAACAAAATCCAGCTTTTATGTCTTATAAAACTGATATGATATGATTAGTTTTGTCTGATGCGAGTATACAGTTGAAACTCGAAAAATTCAAATATCGTGCTGAAGTTCATTGTTTCAGTAATTCAACTTAAAGGGATACTTCACCTCTGGAAAGATGAGTGTGTATTTAAAATGGGTCATTTATGAAGAAGAAATGTGAAATTATATTTGAATTTGGAGTTTCTAGACTGAGAAAAGCCAGAAAATGTATTTTTGGCTTATGTGGATGAAAGACAACAACTGCCAGAATGCACTTGCTTCGCTGCCCTAGGAGGCCACGCCTACCGGTAACAGAGCGCAGTCGTTAAACAACAAGTCTAGGCTACTAGTGAGTCTCTGCGATGAGTCTGCCAGAAAATGTGTTTCGAGATCGCCCAAAATGTCCGGGATTCGGCTTTTGCGTTCTACAGTCGCCATTCATCATGTTTACTGTGGCGAGCGGGACGAGTGAGGGCCGCGGGAGAACGGCGCGAGGCAGGTGGCGTGATTACCGATGAGCGACACCTGTGAGACGCACCGGTCTCGTATCTCGAGCGGGACGAGCGGGAATTTTCTTAGCAATGTTAAAACACACGTCAACGGATCACTTGTTTAGCGTTCATGTAAACACTACGTTCAGATTCACCAATCAGAATAAATTCAGTTAGATTGAAACAAAAGCTGTGCATGTAAACAATGAATGGCGACCGCAGAAAGCAAAAGCTGAATCCCGGACATCGACGGCCGGACTTCTGGGAAAAAGAGGATGGTAACCCCTACTACTCGGCTTTCTCCACAGAACAAGAGCCTGCTAGCTTAGCTTCCAAAAAAAGATGGCCGACACCGTGTGTTTATTCTGTAAGTGAGATCGCCCTCTATGGGTGGGTTGAGAACATGAGGGACAGACCCTACTACTGACTGTAGTCTTTAGCCTCTGGACAAAAAATACATAAATCTCTCGTCTCAGGGGGATATGAGGGTGATAATTGGAAAATACTACAGGTTTTCTACTAATACAAAGCTTAATGCTAAATCCTGAAGTATCCCTTTAAAAGGTGAAACTAATATATTATATAGACTCATTACAAGCAAAGTGAGATATTTCAAGCCTTTATTTGTTAGAATTTTGATGATTATGGATTACAGCTCATGAAAACCCCAAAATCGAAATTAGAATATTGTGAAAAGGTTTTCATGAGCTGTAATCCATAATCATCAAAATTACAACAAATAAAAGCTTGAAATATCTCACTTTGCTTGTAATGAGTCTATAAAATATATTAGTGCAACTTTTAACTTATTTTAAGTTCATTCGAATACACAGTATTCGAATTTTGTAAACTATGAGTATCGTTTTTTTTGTGTATAATTTGAACTCTTTCCCCGGCAATGACAGATTTTTCTGTCATTTATTATAACGAATCTTTGACATAAACGTTGTTTATTTTTATTGAACACACATTAAAGTGTTGATTAAAAAAGAAGCATGAAGCTAGAATAAAACAGGGTTTTTTTGTTTAAAAGTAGAGGATCTGCTCATTCTTTTGATATATTGCATGTTCAGATATTCATGCAACAAAATATTCTGAGAAAATTTTTGTGAAAATGATCAAAATGCTACAGCTGGCTGGTCACTTTTTTTCTTTCAAAAACGCTGGCAGGGAAAGAGTTAATGATGTTTCTAAAAGTGCTATTTATTGTTTTATGCGAGTACAATTTAGTTTATTTTAATTAGCAAAACAAATCCTGAGATGCTGGCTTCCTGTCACAGGGGTTAAAGGGTCAGCGGTTGAGCACGGCGTGCAGTGATCCTGAACCGTAACTGAACCCCGGCCCCCTCATCAAGTCTGCCATGCTTTCCTATTTCCTCTCAAAGAATCGAATATACACACGCATTAAAACCTGTCACTCGCCCATCTCTACCAAATCACTGGTGGCACTTTCCGTCTTCCTGCACCGCACTCTCTCTGGATGGGGTCCAGGCGTGGGTGAAAGGTCTGATGTGAAGTGATGTGCCCTGGGCCTGACCCCTTCTTCCCTGTTTCCAGAGCTCATGTCAGTAATGTTCTCATGTGAGAGAGACACACTGATTTAGCACATGGCTACTTGAGTAAATGTTTATAGTATATCTGTGTGGATAAATGTACGGTCTATTTAACACCGTTGTATTATAGTCTGGGGTTATGGATTCTTGTCTTGCGTCCCTTGTGAAGGTTTTGGGCATTTCAATTGACATTTATTATAATATTTATTTATTATTTTACTATACAGTCCCCATCAAAGATTTGGAAATATTTTTGAATGGAGTCTCTTATGCTCGAAAAGGCTGCATTTATTTCATTAAACGTACAGTAAAACAGTAATATTGTGAAATATTATTACAATTTAGCAAAACTATTTTAATACTTTTTAAAATGTAATTTGTTCCTGTGATCAAAGCTGAATTTACATCATCATTACTCCAGTCTTCAGTGTCACATGATCCTTCAGAAATCACTCTAATATGATGATTTGATGCTCAAAAAACATTTTTGAATATAATTAACGTTGAAGGTCTTGAAGGCATTTATACTCTATCTTGGTTTCAGACTAAGAGGACTCATTGTCGGATTTATTTGTTCACATCATTACTGCGACTTGATGCAAAACTCAAATGCATCAACAGCTTATTTCTAATTTCATTTCTTTTGTTACTGTTGTGCCGGGTCAGAAAAGAATGGGGAACGGCTTCAAAAATGTAAGAAAAATTAATACAAATTCAAGATTTTATTGCAAAAAAAGTATGAGATCTTGTTTTTATATACAAGATATATAATTAAGCAATATCACAAGAGGAAAAGAGAGCCATTTTCATGAATATGAGCACAACTGCAAGCGTGATTTTGGCTTTAATTAATATTAAATGTTGATAATATCAATATTGATATTCAGTGAATATTAAGTGACATACATTTTAGACACAATTTTGAATAAGGTTTTATTTTCTATTTCGGCAACAAAAATTGTTTCAAATGGATTCTACTGTTCTGCGTTTCAAAGGCAACACACTGCGTTTGGTGCCTGAATGAATCAAGTTGAATAAATTATTCTGTGACTCATTCATTAAATGATCCGCTGCAAGTTTTTCTAATCATTTTATATTCAAAAAAGTTATTTTATATAAAAAATATTATTTTTAAAACATTAATCTCAACATTAGGCATTTTTTTAAGCTAATTTGTGACCTGATCCAGCAAAATGAGTCACAGTGACCCAAATTTAAAAATTGAGATTTTGCTATTAAATGGAAAGAGGACACCATAAGCTTTCAAATGGACATCTTAGTCAAAACCATACTTTGAATAGTTGTAAAGATATACTGTACACAATGAGAAAATCACTTTTATTTTTTTGTTGATATCTTTCAAAATCCATTGCATTTTAAGGGATAAACTATTTATTTTATAGTTTAATTTGACCAAATACATTAATATATATAAATGCGATTTAACCAGGCTGAAGCTCAAATTATTTTTACGTTTTTTTGGAATAAATAATTAAAAAGGCACTTTTACAAAAATGTTCTAAAATCAGAAAGATTGAACAGAGGTGCCAGAGAGAAATTCACTTTTCATACGGATTAGCCCACATAAGCAGAGAGCAGTCTGTTTTCTTTCGTTTTGAATGGTTAAAAGTAGACATTTCAATATATATATATTTCTCAGCTCTGTGAGGCAAGTAGGATACCTTATACGCCGAGTTTTGGTTCAGAGACGAGCTTCCGTTCAGCGCCGCCGCCGTGTCGTGATTAGGCCTAGCCTATCCATTGTCTGCAATATTTACTTCTTATTATTAAATCCTTGATGAAATATTGATTTAAATTAAGATACAATTATTAAAAAACGAAATTCACTTTAAAGAAAGGCTTTGTGCTTTCTGTTTAGGCTCTATGAAAGTTTTAGTGCCGCTTCCATAGAACGGTCACGCCCGTATCATTGTTTTTTTCCTCATAAATGCGAACACGGAAAATAAAATAAAATGAAGATTTTATGTTCTGGGGAGAGTCAACCCTTCTTCATCCGGTGGGTAGGATTACTTTTGGTTTGTGCAGTGTAATTCACATAGGCCTATTTATTAAAAGATTTCATTATATGGGAATTTTTGACTACAAATGTCACCTCCATCACGCTGAAATGGCCCAATTTTAAACAAAGTAGTAATAATTTAACTTGTTTTGTGTAGGTCTACGTATTTTATAATGTTAACTTCAAATAATACTAATAGTAAGTTAAAGATGTGGTAGCACTGGACCTGGACCGAAATGATAACATCCGGAACATGTCTTCTTCTTGCAGATAAATATACATACACAGCTTAGGTTACAAGCCTCCAGTGAGTTTAAAACTTTTGATTTCAACGTTTCAGGGGATACCTGGGAAATGCTCAGAGGTGACGAGGGGAGTTGAGAAGAGCAATGTTTATTAAGTAAAGCTTTGACAACTTTAATCGTCATTTAAATACCTTTACTCAATTATCTGGACTACAAAACTCTGGGAGATTATTTTTGAATGTCTGTTCTTTAGCAAAAAAAAAAAAAAGTTTGGTTATTTCATTGTTTTTCCACATAATCGGACCATATCTTATTGTGGAACGTTGCAACTTCCGACTCATTTCGCTAGAGTGGGTCACATTTAGATATTTTGTGTCTTTTATATTTAATAATAATACTATCATCAATAAATACAATTATAATGGGGATATTAGTCTGGCCTTGATCTCAGCACATGCTGGTCTTGGTCTTGAAATGGTCTAAGTTTAGTTGGTCTTGACAATAAAAGACTGATGTTGTGACTCACCACATGGCCGGTTGGCTTGGTTCATGGCTTATATAACACTGTATAGGCTTTTTAAATTCCTATGGGGAAAAAACTAACAGCGCCAATGCACTCTAACCCTTAATTTCAAACCATGATATGCAGTTATGTTTGAAGTGTATTGTGTGATTGAGGAGTTCTTCACCTTCAGAAGGTCGAGGTGTGTGGCCTGTTGTCTTCGAGCGTCCTGCGCAGACTCACACTGAGGATGAACCAGATGAAGCAGACGCACCAACCTCACCGCATCCAGCATTCTGCAACCATGACAACACATGCGCATCACACACACACATTTTAGGGGTCGGCTGCAAAAATCTGAAACGTACATTTCTCTAACGTCCATATATTTGCCATTTAAATACAAGTGAATTTCTCTACTAATACTAGTTTCACAATTGTATCATAAAAACTACAAAAAAATACACATTAATGTAATTATCAGACTTGTATGATACGCTCAGCCATGTCTGTGTAAAGTTATATCCAATATGTCAGTTCATGTTAAAGCTGCACGATTTGGGGTGAATTGAGAATCATGATTTATTTTTATTTCTCCCACGATTCTGACAACAGACAACTAAAGAAAATAACATGTAATATACTAGAGGTTCTGGCTGTGTTAATTGCTACAATCTTTTTGAAATGTTTAATTAATCGAAATTAATTATTTAAAAAAAGGGTCAGGGTTTGAATGAATGACTCTCATTACTTGTTTCATTACTGGATAAACGACAAATAGGTTTTTTACATCACTTGTCGCCACCTACTGATGTAAAATTATAATTGATACAATCGCTTTCAAAAGTTCAAGTTTCTTTCAAAAGCGATTATTTTGGACCACTACTGCATATATCCGTGTTTATAACTATAAACTTTTATCCCAGTACTTCTTTGTAACACTGAAATAATGTGATACTGTGTGACTGGTTTATAAATGACTGTTCTCTCTGGGCCCCAACACCCCAATATGATGATTTATACATCTTGGTGATGGCAAAAAACATTGCTATGGAATACTTTATGTCTGTAATAAAGGTCAATTTCTGCTTTTAAACCCTCCGGTACGCCTGTCCCATAGAGTTTTCATTGTGCATCACTCCAAGCACGTTTTCCATCTTTTTTCCAGAATTCAAAATAATTGTCTGTGGTAAATGTCAGCATTTCCTTTTTGATCTCCACACACACTCACAGGTCTCTCTGCAACATGTCCACCAGAAGGCCATCGATCCGCTGTCCGTTAGCCAGATGCCAGGCCAGACCACCGAAGAACCGTGTGGATCTGAGCATGTCGTATTTCCCATGCTTTTCAATGTCCTCGTAGGTCAGCATTAGCACCTAATTGCACAAGAGCACATTACTATTATTAGTCGTAGTTACACAGTAAACACACTGAGTGGCAAAAAGGCAGCATTAACTTTCAGTGTGAATGCCACGAAAAACACACAAAACACATCTAAAACGGGAAAGAGCTTTGAGATTGACTGTACAACAATATTTACCAAGTAATCTGAGGGATATTTTTACAGACTGCCGAAAGCTACAGAACAGAGAAGCAAATGGATCGCTGATATTCACAGAAACATCGACTTCAGGCAGCGAAATGTGGATTTGCATTTATTTTGTGTCAATATGAGGAATTTAGGTGTAAAATCATACGCTATATATTGTATTGACAACATCAATTAAATATATTTATTAAATAAATTTAATATTCTGCATAATCTGAAAATAAATAAAAAATCCTATTAAAAATACTAAGACTTATTTTTTTTTTTTATAATGTCTACATGTGTATCTGAATTTAAAGATAAATTAACTTTAGGACCCAGCGGAACAGCTCATTTGCTCATCTAGCTGCAAGGGTCATGAAATATGTTATATATTTAGTCATTTAGCAGACTATATTATATTATTATGTTATATTGTATTTTTTTTTCACAAGAGGTCGGGAAAGACACCCAATGTAAGATATTTTGAGCTGAAATAAAAGGTTTAGGCATGAAATTGTGAGGAATATGCTTATATTACTAATTATTTATTGATCAAATCTAGTAATTTAAAGGTAAATAAAATAAAAAAATAAAAATCTCCCAAAAAAATGCATTACAAAATGGAAAAAAAAACATTATCAAAATTAAATAAAATAAGCTTTCTGGACAAAAAAAAAAATACCAGTATAAAAATCAGTGTAAAATCATCAAACACAGCTGTTAAAAGTGCCGAACAACTCAAAAAATGAGGAGAAACAGGGCAAACCACACACTCACGACACCGATGTTACAGAGCACTCTTCAACAAACAGAATAAGATGTTTTCATGCACTAGTAGAGCATTGCCAACACTTGATTTCTTTATAAATGTGTCTGTCAGGAACAACAAAAAAGCTCACATTTTTAAATTCTGCAGAGTCTGGCTCAAATTGGGCAACGCAGTGGTTTAACACATCCTCGTGTTTATCCTGGTCAAATGCCACCTGCACACACACAGAAACAAACACTCGTCATAAATCAACACACGTGCACATCGGCAACACCTCTTCAGCGTCTGCACTCTCCATACCCTGAGGTTTTCTTCTTTAAAGATGGCTGGAGGTGTGACCTTGCGACCCTCTTTGGGGAAATAGACTTGCATTATCCGGTCTCTTTCGTTCCATGATGCTTTTCTCAGGGTTCCACTGGGCTGTCTCACAACTATGAACCTTTCCTTTGGAAAATTGGTGAGAGAAACAGAAACATCAAGAACACGAAAGATAAATTACACCGAAACGGATCACATTAAAACACCAGAAAATGATCAGGAAATTAAAGGAAATAAAGTATTGCAGTACTGGATTATTATCCTTGAACAACAGGAACGTTGAATAATTACATTTAAAACCAATGTAAAATGATAAACCTGTGTGTGTACTGTGTTTTTATACAAATACAAATTATTTTGGATATATAAATGCACGCACATGCATGTATATTAGAAATATTTGCATGTTTATATATAAAATAACAGAGTTCAGATGCAAAAGCCTCTAAATGCCATTTGAAATTTTCTTCTAGAATGATCATTTTTATCAAGCTTGTATATTTAAGTTCAGTGATTTCACTTAAATGGCAATGATGATAATCTATTAATTGTTATTTAAGTGAAATTACTGAACTTAAATATACAAGCTTGATAAAAATCATCATTAAAGAAGAAAATTTCAAATGGCATTTAGAAGCTTTTGCATCTGAACTCTTCATATATACATGCTTTTATTTATACAAAGTAATTATATACAGTACACGTAAACACAAACTTTCATTTTGGATGTGATTAATCGTTTCACAGCCCTAAAACACAGATATGCTAAACCTGGTTATATAGCAGAATTTTCTTACTCGATGCGGAACGTTAAAGTTGATGTCTGTGAACACGTATTTGGCAGTGTCCATGCCTTCTAGCATCGGATCTTCAGAAAGCACCTCGTCTATGGGCTTCCTCTCAGGCAGGACCGGGGGCATCTTCAGCAAATGTTTTGCCTGTTCCTCTGCTTTCAACACAGCCTACACACAAGCCAACACACAAACACAATCAAGACAGAAGCATAACTGTACAATTATATCACATGCTACACTGAATCCCTTTCCATTGTATCCTGCATCTCAAACCCTCTTCATCAGATCTCACCTCCTCTAAATCTGAGTCTGTCATGAGCTTGTATTGAGGTGGCGTTAGCTTCTGTCTTATGGGTCGAAACACTTTCTGCAGATCCAGACCCGTGATTTTGCTCAGAATGTCTTGAACCTCTGTATCTGTGAACTGAGCCTTGGGCACATCCACGGAGCCTGGACGGCGGAGAAAAAGAAACATCGATCAACTTCAGTAATTAGATGCTAAAGTGCCATGGGACATCACATGGTACTTGGAAATATACTACAGTAGTCAACAAAATTCATGTATAACTTTGATGAAAGGTTTTGAGCCACATTATATGTTGACTACTGAATAATATTAATATTTTTAAATAACTATATTCAAACAGCATTATAGCACATGTCTGCAAGATGTCTGTTAAAGACCACTTCATCTGGAAAGCATCCAGACGTCTTTAAGACGTGGATGTGTTTTACATACACTGATAGACGTCTATTTGATATTAACAACTGGAAGACGTTATGCGCACCTATAGGACGTTTCCTGTCAGATGTCAAATAGACGTTTATAATGTCTTTAAGACGTTTATGATTTAGAATGTAAAATTGACATCTTAAAAACATCTATCAAACGTTTGTAAACAGAAGATGCTTTCCATATGAAGTGATCTTTAGACATCATAGCTACATGAATACAAAAGAAATCTAATAAGTAAGTTATAACAACATCAAATCGATGACAAGGTCATCGTACTGTACTTTTTCGTCAAGCTTGAGGTCTAATGACTCAGTAAAATATTTAGTTAACCACACGAGACATTAAAACCACAAACCGTTAATATACAAGGTCAATTCTCCACTTCTGTAAAGCATGTAATTAATCGTAAACATCACGTTTCCAGTGACTGTACTTACTGCTGCGAGATGCTGCTGATACACAAAACATTCGTGTTGTGGTCTGTAAACGCGAGTGCACATTTTTGTCTATACATTTAACGCAAGAGTAAGACTTTACTAAACGCCTTGCAATACTGAGGGCGGCCATGCTGTAAGTGACATCATCACTGCGGTTGAGTGTTGAACTCTCACCTTTCAGAGAGCCGCCGGGAATGCTGGGAAATGTAGTCCAGGGATCATCCTCCTCTCTAACCGGACAGTAGCCTATTTCAGCATAAAATCTGCGCAATGACGTTTTCATACTAAATAAGTAAATACATAGATGCATAAAAAAATCACGATTCATCCATTTCTTGCTACCAGTGTAGCCTACTTTTCGAAACAACTCTAGCCTACAGAAATATTCTTTCTGAGTAGACAAAATTAAGCATGTATTGACACAGCCAGCAACTGAGAGGGACAAAACAAGATCTACCATTTATAATAATAATAATAAGTCAAAAATAAGTCAATCATATATCGCATCGATTATGTAAAGCTACCCACAACACAAAAGAAGAGATGTAGGTTTAGAATAATAGGCTAATAATAATAATAAAACAAATATGTTTGTTTAGGTAAAACTTCCGAAATCTCTGTGTAAAAAATGAGTGACATACATGCGCAAGCGATCACTTCCAGCGTTTGCACAGACCGAAGCGCCCGTGCCTTCAGATCACTTTTACATGGCTGTGGTTACAGGAGGTAAAAACAATATAAATACTGCTCATTTTCTCACACAAACCGCTCGTCTTAGGCCATCAATGTGTACTTACATTTATGAGTCATTAAATTATGTTTAATTTGGACTTCTCTGCATGCTCTTTGAGGTGGTGACCATAGACCTGCGTTATTTGTCTGGTAGCCAAGAAGAACGGTTTGACCGAAAAAGATCAAAATTGAAAATACTGTGGAAACAAAGACACCTACATCTGATGCCCTTGAGGTAAGCTAAAACATATCAAAAATGTATTTCAAAGTGAACTATCCCTTTAAAGTGCAGTTGCATGTTAACAAGGTTAAAGCCCTGCATGTAGAAGCGCAATAGCTAAGTATACATTTATTTATTCGGGGCTGACTTACAGAATTGAGTACAGAAAACCAACCAGACTCCGAATAATCATTAAGAAGAAAGACTCTTTTGGTTTGTTTTTTCATTAAACAAATAGCTCAAAAACTCTTGTTTTTTAAAAGAATGACACAAGCTCTTGCTGCGCTTTTTTATAATGTATATATGAATTGGTGCAGAGGTGAGCCTGCAGGTTTAGAGGGGCAGGGGTCAGTCAGTCAGCAGAGGGCGCCAGAGGCTCACACTCACCCCCACTGAACACATCTGCATACTCACAAAACACACACACACACACACACATACACACACTAACAAGCAAATAACAAGTCAAGAAAATAGAAAAAAAGATAATATTTCATATTCCAATGTCTAATGATATTTCCTGCATTTTGTTCCTACAATGTTAGCTAATCTAATTATTAAAAAAGATAATTTAATGTGCATACATGGTTAATATCAGCCATGGTTTTATGATCTTACTGTAAAAACAGCTCTGTTCACTGTAAAAGCAACCTCTTCTCATGTTGGACTCGTGTGTGCTGCTGATGCTTGCTCATATTTTGCTCGATTGCTTGATGCCCCATATTGACATTTTTCATATGTTTTGTATACAACCCGGTCTCATCCCAAGACGTTATTGTATATAAGCTAATTGAAAATAATCTGCACATACCAAGTACATAATGCTAAAATAATGTAAAGCCCCACCCCTAGATTGTGTTTGTTTGTTTTGTCACTTATGGGTGCTGCATTAAACAACAATATCAAATGCTCTTGATATTATTGTTTATTCATTCATTTATTGAGAGTTTAGGATGTCAGTCTGTCTCACAACTACAGACTTATTACTGTAAGTGATTTAGTTACACAAATCTGATTATTTGCAGACCAGTCTCTCTCTCTCTCTCTCTCTCTCTCTCTCTTTTATCATGTTTATATTTAAATAGTGGGAAATACTTTATTTTAAGGTGGCGCATAGTTACACATTACTACATGTGCTTCCTAACAGTAAATTATGCATAATTACAAGTAAATAACCCTAAACCAAATCCTAACCGTAACTACATAAGTCCATAATTAATTAACATTACTCAGTGCTAATTTGAGGAAGTACAATGTAGATACGTCACCTTAAAATTAAGTGTAATCAAACAGTGTTTTGCACAGGTTTCTATTAGGGTTATGCTTAAAGGCATAAGAACATATTAACATAAACAGTGGAAGTCAATGTGATGTCCTCATTACAGTTTTCTTACTATAGCTACACTCACATTTCTCAATACTCACGTCACTTTTTCCAAAACTCTCAGTTCTCCTGACCAACTTTCATCTTGACACAGCAGATTCTGTAATTTCACATTCAAAATGCACTAAAAAAACCACTTCATTCTTGCCTCAAGTAAAGTCCTTCTTCCAGAACACTCTATATATCATGTTTTTATTGTCAGGCTTTGAACTTGAGTTTAACCAGTTTTGAAATGAGTGTAAACTCGTGCAAATTGGCTTTCGGCTGTTCGTCTCTACTCTTTAATTGAGAAATGTAATCATGTCATTTTAAAGATGTCGTCATTGAATGAATTTTGTGCCAAAGCACTGCTGTTGTGATCACTGTGTGAAGAGTGACCTAAGTATTGAGAAATGTGTCCAGCGATTACAGTATAAAAAACCCCTCTGTACTATAGTGAAACAAACAAAAAGAGTGTAGGTGTTAGTGATGGGTGGTAGCAATGGATAAGAATAAAGAATAAAGGTCTTTTGAACTCAGCAGATGAAAGATATATTAATAATGTGCACGCATTAAAGGTGTCGCTTTAACAGGGAGGATATGTTGATGTTGATGTCAGTAGATTTAAAGCTAAATCAGCCTTTCAAATAGTGTATAGGCCACTTACCTCACCCTCACCCTAACTCTAACCCTAAATCATCCCCGGAAAGAAAATCTACAGCAGTTCTAAATTATAAAGAAAATAATAAAGCAACTGTTTTGTCTGTGGAAATTTTGTCCCAAAACTATAAGTGAATGTTCTACAAAATTCTCACACAAAAAAAAAAAAAAAAAAAAAATTGGAAAAATTGGAAAAATAAAATGATGATTTGCAGACCAGTGTGTGTGTGTGTGTGTGTGTGTGTGTGTGTGTGTGTGTGTGTGTGTGAACATGTTAATGGTGTAGGATAGTCACCAGAGGCAAGACTTACCCTTTCAACAAGCAACAGCTGTCTCCATATTGAAGCAGACACACACACACACACTTGCACAGAAACACATACTCTCTCACACACACACACACATGCACAGAGACACACACATATATGCACAGAAACACACACACATATGCACAGAAACACACACACACACACACACACACACACATGCACAGAAACATTCATCTTTCCATTTTACTGAAACATTTTTTTTACCTATAGTGAATAGAAACCAAAACAAGCACACACTGGATTAGTCTTTGTGTAGAATATTGTGTGCACACACACGTGTAATAACACAATCACACACGTTCCCTGTGCTGCGGGTAATCCTGGGTCAAGCTCTGGCCTTCCTGGAGACACAATACACACACGTTTACTGAATGGGGGATAGTGCAGAGAGGTGTTTGACAAATCAGAATGAACCAATCACGAATACAAAAAAAACGCAAAAGGCCTACGAATATTTCGGACTAAGTATGCAAAGGGCCTTAACCCTAATCATGAAACTTTATTTTATACTTTTTTTGTTTGTTTGTCTGTTTTACAAATGAGAAGGTTTTCGACAGACTTAGCTCACCTCTGAGTCATTTTCTCTCCGAAATTAAGTGGGTACACTTGGTCCTGTGTGTTTGTGTGTGTGTGTGTGTGTGAGGCAGCTACAAGGCTTGAAGAGCTGGAGCGCTGGTATTTCTCCGTCCAGCGGGAGGGAAGTGAAGGAGAGATTGGGAAAGGGCAGAGTGACACTCAAGCTCTGTGTGCTTTCCAGAATCACTCGTTCTTGTTTTCCTCATCCTCTTATCACAATCACTCATACACCGCCTTTCCGTTATGGTCCCGCTTTCTTTTTTAAAAAGCAATCGTGCAATCCTTATTAATGCTGCATATGTGTTTGTCAGTGATATAAAAGTTCATTAGAAGTTTTGTTTGTTTGTTTCACAATAAAAAAAATCCTAAAATTAAAGGATATTTCATTATCTCACCGCCCACACTAGTACACTACATTGTAGTCACCTCTCACAAGCCTGCATGATTAATTAAGCATATCATCGCATAAGCAATTATCATTCATTTGCATTTTTAATTCAGTTTATATATTTTATTCTCACATGTATGCCTTTGCCCCAAAACAACCTTGATTCAAGGTACACATTTTATCAGTTCATGCATTTCCTGGGAATTAATCCCACAACCTTGGCATTGCTAAAATAGTGTGAATAGTAAGATTAGTATGCCTTTCTAAATACTACACAGTTTTGGTTGTTGTCTCAACTAACCAGCCGCTTCTTATAATAGAAGCTTTATTTGAAAGTTTTCACCAGCCCTATAAAGGGCTGTCAAACGATTAATCGCGATTAATCTTATCCAAAATAAAAGTTTGTGTTTATATATGTGGATGCACGGTGTATAATTATTTTATATATATAAATACATACCAATGCTTCTATACAGTATAATTAAGAAATATTTTCATTTATATACTCTATATAGATTTATATATAATTTATATTATATAAAAATAAAAATATTTTATATATAAATAATATTTTTTTCTTAAATATATATACATTTATGTGTATTTGTATATATACAAAATAATTATACACAGTGCACCCACATATATTATGCAAACACAAACTTTTATTTTGGATGCGATTAATCACAATTAATCGTTTGACAGCCCTAGCCCTATACTTAAATAAAATCAACACCTAAATAAACAGTTTGGGTTTTTGCAGATTTTAGTTACTGTACACTTTATTTTAAGGTGTCATTGTTACAGTGTAATTATACTGAGTAATATTAAGCAACCACATGCACTTACGGGTATGATTTAGTTGAGGGTTAGTTGCATGT